GACCTTCCAGAAGAGATAGTCAGCGCCCCCAGCAAGGCGGTCTTTAAACTTCGTCTTGACCGCCACTTAGGTTTATCTACTCCTCCCCAATAAAAAAAACATTTTGAATTATATAAGAGTTCGCAAGTCTTCATTTTATTTCTCGCCTCGAGCGGGGAACCCTACTAATCCCCTTTCAGTACCCTCTGTTCTAGTGGTAATTCAAACCAAAAGAAAACACAGATACCTTTCAAGGACCCGGGACATTTGGGCAACAGCCTCGAACCCGTGAATGACTTGAAGACTTCAAGACGCGCGATTGGCAAGTGCCACAATTCGTCCTGTGTGAACTGAACTGAATTTGTGACCTTTGGGGCGCGGCATTCGATTGCGCCGTTGCTGATTAGTCAAGCACCCGAAGCATTCATAGGTGTGACGGAGCAATTTTGCGTATTCAACTTGCTCGTTTCATCATATAGTTGGTGACTCATATTTGAACTTACAAAATGGCCCAACGATTCTACCCGTATGCGTCCAACGGAGGGTAATGAATTAGTCATGCGCTGTAAATCGTTTAAAATTTATATCAGAACAACAATGGGTATTGCCGGCGATGACTTCGTATTAATAGCGTCAGATACCCGATTATGTGCAGAGAATTCATATTTCATCTACTCCAGAAATGCGCCTCACTTGTACAAAATGTAACTAATTATTTTCACACTAACTCGAGGCATACCTTAAGGGGTCCGAACAAAATTTTGGCCTCAACTGGATTCCACGGGGATGTTCTTACGCTCACTAAATTGCTGGAAAATCGTGTGAAGGTAATTGCTTCGAAATTTCCTAACGTGAGTTAGACATTTAGATACGATCACGGTAAAGATATATCTACGAAGGCGCTCGCCGGCCTTCTTTCAGTTACCCTTTACAATCGGCGCTTCTTTCCGTTTTACGTCAGTAATATATTAGCGGGTTTGGACGATGAGGGTAAAGGGGCGCTCTATGGATATGATCCAGTAGGGTCCTATGAAAGAATAAAATATGTGGCTTCCGGTAGCTCCGGGGTCATTTTGCAGCCATTCCTTGACAGTCGGGTAAGCGTTTCATTCTTTACTTCATGAAATGTTTAGGTGGGAGGCAAAAACATGAAAACCAATCTTCCTCCGCTCACCAAAGATGCCGCAGTAAAACTTGCACACGATATATTCATCAGCGCCGCTGAACGAGATATCAACTGTGGCGATGGAGTGGTCATTTGTGTTATTACTCAAAGTGGAGTTGAAGAACATCGCTACCCTCTGCGCCGTGATTGAGTACTCGTTATATTGTTAATAAATTACACTTTTGACATCGCACATTTTCTGCACGACCTCTTGCGTAAAGCACCCAGGGCTGATATCGTGATTTTAGCAGGAGACATGAATGCCAGAGTAGGCCGGTTGACTTCGAGAGAGGCGCACCTGGGAGGTCCTTTCAGACTAGATTCCTGTCGCTCGAAAAACGGGGAGCGGCTGTTGGCTTTGTGTTCCGACCACCGCCTGTTCCTTACCTGTACGAACTTCAAACGCTCCAACTGCCGGTACACCACTTGGGTCCGCCCTCCTCGAGTCAGAGACGGACGCAGATCGACCACATCGCGATAAGCTGCAAATGGCGGGGCGGCATTCAAGACTGTCGATCGTACTGGAGCACTACCCTCGAATCCGACCACGCATTAGTATGCGCTAAGCTGTCCATGTGCTTCGGTGGGCGTCCCAAACGCAACGACACAACGACGGTTAGACTGCGATAAGCTGTCCAAACCAGCTTGTCTAACTATCTTCCAAAACGCACTAGCTGCAAAGCTAGTACCAACCCCAGCACTGGTCGCTTATCAAGAATGCTCTGCATTCTGCCTGCCTAGTTAGTTGTGGCCTGACACAGGGAGTGGTTTTTCCGTTGAGAAAAGATTCCGAAAAGACGTTAAATTGCTGCCGAAATATTTTTTCTGAGTCATCGACAGTCCAACCAGTTTCGATAGGTACTCTCGGGTGATAAAACGGTGCGTTTTCGGTGACTGAACGGTGACGCTCGCGCTGGCCGGTGGCACCGCATATGAGATAAGAGGACGAACACGAGTTAAAGCATTATCCGTGTGGATGGTAATCACCTCTCGTTTGCTGGGTTCAACCCACAAAAACAGAGACCATTGGCTAGTACTTGATATCTCCTGATTCTCGGATAACGCATGCGTTATCTTCTTCAAATTAAAATGGAAGATTCCTGTTCTCATCAAAATTACATGAATCTGCCGGCAAACTCGATAAGTAATTCTAAACCGAGCTACACAACAGTGTCCAATTTCATGTCCCATGGGTAGAGTGAACGACTGCTCGAACTGGGTCACACGTATCATATCGATCAGAAACAAGGTCTGTAAATGTCACGAAGTTCGAACTACTGCAGCTCAAATCCTTCAAAGGTGCGTCGACAGCCACAAGTACCATAATCTCAACTGAATTGAAACTACGGTCGCCAAAAGTCCATGACTTTGTGGGAATGCGGACATGACTCCATCTTTCCAATTATACGTGAATTTTCTCGGTCAATGCCTACCTACACGTAAAACCAACCCCGTGACCCGCGATTTCCCACTATGCACACTATAGACAATGTGGGAACTGCAACATGTGAGTCATGCATTGTGTAAGCGGACAGCGACGAAACCATCATGTTTAAATATTTTACCGCAATCTGTGCATGAATACTTTCTGTCATCTGAATAGCGTTTATGTGCATTTAACTACAATGCTGAAACCAGTACTGCGCTAAATACAGTAGCGCTCGTGTATCTACTCTTTACTCTTGCAACCTCAGTCTCTACATTAATTCTCTATCATCCTTTTGAATTCGTTCTCCACATTCCAATCTTCATTCTGCTGTTCTATCCAAATGGGCGGTCAAAAGACAGTAACCAAAACCGGCGCACGAAAGTGCATGGTTAACGGTTGTAAAAACTAAAACTGAAAAACGAGAATTATGTTTTACTTCACACGTGCCGAGTCCATACTGTGTGCAAAACAAAACACGGGCCCAATTATATTTATGAAAGAGTAATTAGTCCACGATGTGCTAGTGGTAAAACTACGTCCAGGTTGTTCCAGTCAAAGTAGGGGAATTCACAACTGGAGCCTGCCACTGATCAAATCCTGACCCGGAAGGCAACCGGACAGTGTGTGAAAACCGCAATCCACTGGGAGGCCGACATCCAGTTAATCAGATCATACATCCTGTGGATGGGCTCAGACATCTAAGGTGTCCAATACGCATCGATATCCAATCGGGCAGGTGACCATCACCAAATACATGGGGGTGCGAGCATGCGGGTGGTTTATACGCCTCTACTTGTTTGGTTTGTAATCAAGGGTTTTGTTGAACTCCCCTAGACGATTCAGCGGAGACTTGATTTTAGTGTACTAGATATTACACAACATAAACCACCCTTGTCACACACTTTTGACGTTGTCATCAAAATTTCGTTTACGGGCAAATCTATTCAAACTACTATTCCAAAAATCTCGACTGGACTGTCGACGTGATTCCTTCGCCGTCAGAGTGTGCACTATCTGGAATTAATTACTATTTCATGTCGTTTGTGCCACGACGATTGATTTTTTCAGGGCAAAACTTGAAAAATCATTAACACACAATACATACCAAGATCCATGAGCACACATAACAAAACCGAATACAGCATATGGAATTTCATTCATCTTTGTTACAGTCCAATCCGTGTAAATACCCTATGGGACAAGAAAAGCATCTTCTTGTAAGTAATGCTCATGATAAAACTTTGACTTCGACTTGGTCATCATGGGGTTTATCCCATCTTCTGTTCTTCACACTGAGGTGTGTAATAAAAAGAACCGATTATGGGCTCCCGTGGTTAAAAAAAACATCGACAATCTTTATCACGGATGCGATAAGGCTGTTGGCTATGCCCTCCAGAAGTGGGTTACCACATTCAGGGTGCCAAAACACCCCATTACTCATTCAAAACGGTGAGCGAGTGCTGAAACCAAGGCAAGCTAGCTTTCAGTGTCTCGTAAACCAGGAGATGTCATGGGTTCTACTGAGCACAGATTGCCTCTTTTTTAGGATTATCCCTGACAGACCGATTGTCTACAGGAACGATTTATCGCGAATCAAATGTCAGTATGTACAAAAGCAACTTCTTCACATTGCTGGACCCAAATCGACCACATAACTATCAGTTACCGCCAGAGGGGATCGATTCAAGACTGCGGCTCTTACTGGTCAACACCTGTGGATACGGACCACGCTTAGCTACGAGCCAAATTCTCCTTAAGACTGGCAATCAATCGTACAAAAGCCATTGAAAACAGATACCTACAATACAACGTCAGCGACTGTTGCAAATCAGCCTTCGAAGCTGAACTCTCCGATCGCCTGTCAGTTCAACCACCAGCCGCAGGACTCAATGAACACTGGAAGTAAATCAAGAAAGCTTTACAAATATCAATTAAAACAACGTCAGACCGCCACGCAGGCTCAAAACATAAGCGATGGATCTCATCGACCTCGGCTGCCCGCAGAACCCTCCTTCCCGATGTCGCATATGACAGCACGTAAATCCCTTAAACGTCCACTCGTTAAGAGTCTGAGGAATTACCGCGAGAAGCTGCGGAAATTTGTATTAGTCGCAACCTTTTCCGTCTAATTAGGAATACGGGTCCTAGGAAAATAAACGTTTGTGAGGTAATTAAGGAATCCGATGGCACACTAATTCACGATCAGCAACTCCGTCTTGATTGATGAGTTGAACATTTCGAGGCTCAGTTCAACTGGCACCCATCGACCTCTGAACTATCAACTTCCACTGCGAATCCTCCAATTCTGCCAATCGATGCCAGTCCACCAACCGAAATGGGTTTCCAGGGAAATAATTTAACTCAAAAGGCATAAGGCCTATGCCCCAGACGGGCTCTCCCCATCCGTTTTTAAGGATGGAGGTTTAGCATTGTTTTCGGAGTTAACAAAACTTCTG